GCCGCCGCCGCCCTCCCGGGGGGAGCTCATCCTACCCCCCCCACCGCCGCCCCTCCTGCCCCTTTTGCTTCTCCTTCAGGGACCAGGAAGGAAGGAAGCCCCAAGGGAGGAGGGGAATCCCGGTCCCCTCCTCCCTCTCCCTCCCCGCCCGCTCTGGGGCGGCCTCTGGGGCGTCCCTCGCCCTCCCTCTCTGGGGCCGGCTCGGAACTCGTGGGCGCGCCCGAGGCGGACCGCTCGACCGCTGGGGGCAACCGCCACCCTTCCTCCCTCGGTGCCTGTGAAGTCGTGGGCGCCATGATGGTCGAGGGCAAAGGCGGCGCCTCTTTCCCCGGCCTGCCGCCATGATGGCTAAGGGCACCGTCGTCGTCGCCCAGGCCAGGGGGCGGAGGGCGGCCATCTTGGGAAAGGGACAGCCCGTCGCTGGCAGCCATGACGACTAAGGGCGTCGTCCCCTTTGGCCGGCCATTTCTGGAAAGGGGGTGGCTGGTGTTTTGGCTCTCTTTTCACTCCCTCCCCCTCCCAATTCAGACGCGCCATTTTGGAAGAGGGCAGCTCCATCTTGGACAAGGGCAGGGCTTCCCTTTTCCTCCCCCTGTCAAACTGACTGGGCAGAACGGCAAATGGGAATTTGTGCTTTGAGGAGACTGATGGTGGCGACCATTATTTCCCCTGCCTTTGAATATTTTAAACCCCAGCCACCCCACACGAGGTATTTTTTTATCCTTAGGTTTTCCTAACCCTCTCTCAGGTGTGTGTTTTTTTGTTTTTGCTTTCCTCTCAGGTTAAAAAGAAAGGGCAAAGATGAGTGTTCGTTCCAGCAGCAAATGCCATGGAAAAGAAGGGAACGGAATAATAACCAATACTGTACAATAATACGAATCCTTGTGGCCGTGGCCAGCAACAAACATGGCCGAGGGCCGCTTCGCCTGCCCGGCACCAAGATGGCCGCCCCCCCCCTCCAACCTATCGCCGCGGCAGGAGCGGCGCGCCCGCGACGGCGCTGCGTAACGTCAGGGACGGGAGCGGCTTGGGGAATGGCGGCGTTTGCGCCAGCAGGGGCGACGATGGCGTACGCATGCGCGCGGGCGGCTTCCCCGTGCCTGGCGGGGCCGAGGAAGGGAGGCGAGCGAGCGAGAGGAGCGGCCGAGGCGGCCCGGGTCTCTCCCCCCCCGGCGGCGGGGGTGGCCAAGGTGGGAACCTTAGCTTCTTGTTTTATCTGAACCTGTCAAATTATGGTTAATGTTATGGTGTTTTATTTATTTTTTAAAGTCAACTTGAAACCACAGGTTCTTAACCCCAGAGATTCAAAAACCGCAGTTAGCGTAACCACTGTTTGAAGTCTGGACACAACATTAAGCTGAGGTTACCAACGAATTGGCTGAGGAGTGCCTCTGGGCATGGGCAGAGTGCCGGAGCGGAAGGGGGAGGAAGAAGAAGAAGGGACGGGGGGGGCGCCTTGCCTGCCTTCCGTTTTGCAGGGAGATTGCGGAGGGAGGGTGGTGGTGGTGGTGTTTTTTCCACGGTGCAAACCCCACAAAAGCCAGGCTGGTGGTGGTGGTGGGGGATACTGGGATTTGTAGTCTTAAAAAAAGAAAGAAAAAGGAGCGAGCGCCTCTGGGCGCAGCTGAGGATGTCGAGGGAAGCCTCAGCGTTCCTGGGACGCTCCTCAGTTTCATGCTTGACCACAACTAAAATGCACCTGCAGTAAGTTACATAAACTTTATCTGATCACCAATAGAATTCCAGCCCTTGTTTCTCTTCTGCTGTAACTCACATTTCAAACACAAATTTGAGCAACTGTTTTTTAATAATCCAGCATTTACACCATATAGGAGCGTTGGCTGTCTGTATGTGTACACACACACACACACCCCTCCCTCCCTCATTGCACACTTGCAAACTGGCAGGGAGAAGAAGCAGGCATTTCGGCATTTCAGCCCCAAAACAGGAAACCGGTTGCAGAAGTTTCCGCGTCCTGCCTGAGCTCATGGCAGGTGGCGAGAAGACAGCCAGCTGCCCCCCCTCCGACTGCACCATGGAAGGCTGGCCCTTTTTTTCTGTTGGCTTGTGGCTTCTTCACGACCGATACCTAGACTTGTCCACCTGGGATTGTATCTGAAGGGGATCTCTGAGAAGCTCCTGCCTGTCCACCCGGAGACGCCCGATGGCCGCGGCCTTTGCCCACAGAACGCCTTGGCCAGCTCCAGGAACGAAAGCCTTTCAATGGTCGGGCCCTGCGTTTTGCCCCTTCTGTTGCACTGCTTTGACTCTGCTCGCCAGGCGCTCAGGGCGCACAGCAAAAGTAGGGAGAGGAAAGAGCAAGCGCGCAGCAAATCTTGATGCTGTTCTGGAAGCCGCGGTCGTTCTTTCTCCCTGGCGGGCCAGACTGAAGCCCAGGACGATGCTGAGTCGCAAACGAGGGCTGACCAGGATAGATGCTGGGTTGACGAGTATTTGACATTTATGGGAGGGGAGAGGTTAAGAGTTTGTTGACATTGAAGCAGTTCTCCAAGGCTCTGAAACGAAGGTGCAAGAATTTTTCTCGAGAGGTGAGATGATTCTCTGTGTGTGACTACATGGTTTCCCTTGATTCTTGACTTCCTTTCCTGACCCACTTGCCAAATGGAAATGTCAGTTTATCCGGAGGCCATGCTTTTCACTGTATTTTGTGTGTGCACCTGCCGGTTGTAGAAACCTGTAGGCGCCCCGAGGTTCCCCAGTTTTTGCCTACACATAAATCAAGGGATAGAAATAGAAGACGGTGCTTTGGAAAGAGGTTCACTGGGGCATTTGCCCAATCGGAGGGGGGGAAATCTTTCCTAAAAAACCAGTTGCATATTGCGAAAGAAGCAGTCGACAGAGACGTCCCTGTCCTGCCTGTTCCTTAGGCTTTTCAAATAACGGTGCCCCTTCGCTGCGGAAGGCGACGTGAGCCAGCTTCCGGCTTCTCTTTGAGAGCGCTTTGCCAGCAAACTTCCTATTTTGCTGCTTTTCACCCAGGGAGCCTGGCCTGTGTGACTCGCAGCCCACAATCTATTGTGCGATTCCTCACGCTTCCTGTTTTAAGAGACCCTCGCATGGCCCGCAGAGGGAATATCCAGACTTCTTCCCTTGTTTAGTAATGGAGAAATTGCCTTGTAATTTTGTCTTTAAAAAAAAGACACGTTAAAAAAACACACCCCACTTGGGTTGGTGCAGGCTATCGCCGAATGGCGTTCCTCACTGCCATTCTCGGCTGCCAGAGTTGCCCACGTTGCTCACAGGTGGGCAGCTGGGCGGCCTGTTTTGATAGCCAGTTTGTTGATGTGGCTGTTACGTTGGCAGACCTTGTAGGATTATCCTCTAGTTTGCAAAAAAGAAAAAGGTGTGTGTGTGTGTGTGCACGCGTGCGTGCAGGGAGAGTGACTTGGCAAAAGCCGGAGGAAGCCCTGGCGGCCTTCTCTGCCTTCCCTGCTCAATCCTCGCCCTTTCTCTCTGTCTCCCGTCCAGACCCCTGCTGGGCCTCGATCAACAGGGGGGTCCTGATCTGTGATGAGTGCTGCAGCGTCCACCGGAGCCTCGGCCGCCACATCTCCCAAGTCAGGCACCTGAAGCACACCCCGTGGCCTGCGACGCTGCTGCAGGTAAACGGACGGACGGCTTGTCCCATTGGGCTCCCTGTTGCTCCCGGAGATCATCCTCCTTCCCGGCCACCCTCTTCCCATCTCAAGCCCCGGCAGCCTGAAAGCCATGGGGGGGGGTGGAAAATGCAGCTCATGTCATGCTTCCTCTCCCCGCCTTGGCGTTTGGGGTGATGCTTGCGTGGCAGCAAAGGTTGATGAGTGGCCAGGTAGGTTCTTAGGTTTTGTCGCAGGTGGGTATTTTTACACTTGCCAACCTGTTCCCAGGTACCATTGATTTGGACGTCAATTTCTCTACAGCCGAGGCAAACAGCTGGTCATTGTGTCGCTCTTCGTTTTGTTTCTCCATTTTATTTCCATCTTGCCTTTCTCCCAGCGGAAGCCCGTGGGGTTTACGATATAAATTGAAGCAGATACTATAGCTAAAATACCGTCAAGTGAACACTCATTTAAAAGGTTTAATAAGTTGTGCCCCAAACAAACCCTGAATTAAAACAGTTTAAAACTCTTTGAAAACTTGTTGATCCAGTCAACAGATTTCCTGATACAACACCTAAAAATCAATGTGACACAACAGTAAAATCTGTAAATGTGAGAACAGTAAAAACAGGGTTATTTTGATTAGGCAAGACCTTAACTCCCCCCTCTTCATTCTAAACACAAATTTGGTTGCAGTTTCTGTATTAGAAAAATGAAACATAAGAGTCAGATCACCTTTCTGGATTTAAACGTCCAGTAGATTCATAAATGAATTTGCAAGGATTTTGGTAAACATTCTGGAAAAGAACACGTGGCTTTAATGTCTCAATCTCTTCTGAAAATTGAAAACTGAAAATTATCTAGGACGGTAACCTGGCAGAGCAACCCCAAAATGTGCTTCCTTATTGCTAGTTGTTGTTCAAAGCATCTTCGTGTTTTGAGTCACAACAGCCCGGAGTCCTTTTCCCTCAAATCTCCCACGGCTGTGACGGGAAGCCAGTTCTCTAGCTGTTGAGGAATCGGGGGAACACGGATTTAGTGTCTTGTTTCTGTCTTTTCCAGATGGTGGAAACCTTGTATAATAATGGTGCTAACTCCATCTGGGAGCATTCGTTGCTGGATCCGGCCTCTATCATGAGTGGGAGGCGCAAAGCGAGCCCCCAGGACAAAGTTCAGTAAGTGGCACCTTTGGGGTGGGGGTGGTGAGGAGGGAGCATGGTCTGTGTTTCCCCGGAGGGCCGAGGGGGGGGGCCCAAAGCGGCGCAATCGTTAACAAACCGTGACAAGCCCCACGACAGATGCAGGCGAACATGATCCTGCCTCCTACATGGGCGGAAAGAGGGGAGAATGTTCTTGGCAACGTCTGCGAATAAAACAGAGAAACTTCTCTTCTTCCAGAAGCTATCGGGGGGGGGGAGGCAGAGGGGTTGAGCAGGTCACATGCATGGTCAGCCTCCTGGGTTTTTTAAGAAACGGGACTGACAACAAATGAATTTCTCCCTCCTCTGAAAGTGGGGGGGGGAGGAGGAGAGGATGCATAAAATTCTTAGATATAATCAAGGGTTAGGCATATATTTTTAATCACTAAATAATCTGCTTGGAAGGAGCCTCAGAATTGTTATTTTCTTTTTTCTTTTTTAAAAGCCAGCAATCGTTTTTCCAAGCTCTGGGACTGCCTTTGAGGGAATGCCTTGGTTATCTTGCTGTAGATCTTTACCCCCCCCCTCTCTTACAGCCCCAACAAAGCAGAATTCATCCGAGCGAAATACCAGATGCTGGCTTTTGTCCATCGCCTGCCCTGCCGGGATGATGACAGTGTGACCGCCAAGGACCTTAGCAAGGTAAGCTGGGAGGACGAGTCCTAGAATAACTTAATCAGAGGGTTGTACGAAGAGGGAGGGAGGAAGGAAGGAAGGGGCGTTGCAGCTGTCAGTTTCACAAGTGAGCAAGTGCTTGATGCGAAGAAGAGATTGATCCGAATCTCTTTGGCCGCTGATGGGACTGGGTGGTCCAGAGTTCTGACATGCAGCATGGGGACCCACGGCCTTCTCCTTGTGCCTGGGTTCCAGGGCCCATTATCCCCAACCGGTGCGGCCTCTGGTCTAAGGGACTGGCGCTGTCCCCAGCAGCATAGCAGTCCAGAGGCGGATCCCCTTCACGTTCCAGCCGTCTCCTTTCTTCTCTGTCTTTCCCTCCCGCCCTCCTTGCTTCCGTTTCCAGCAACTCCACTCCAGCGTCCGGACGGGAAACCTGGAGACCTGCTTGCGGCTGCTTTCCCTGGGAGCGCAAGCCAACTTCTTCCACCCGGTAAGAGGACACCCTTTAAAAAATATTTTTTTAAAAAAAAAATTGCTCAAGGCAAAATGTATTCCCGGAGACTCCTGTCGTTACTTCTGGTTTCGAGGGCATGGCTGTTTGGCCGATGCCTCATTCACCCGCCTCCCCTAACACTCCCCCTTGTAGGAGAAAGGGAACACCCCACTCCACGTGGCTGCCAAGACGGGTCAGATTTTACAGGCTGAGCTGCTGGCCGTGTACGGGGCCGATCCTGGCACGCAGGACTCCAGCGGGAAGACGCCGATCGACTATGCAAAGTGAGCGAAGGAAGCATTCTGAGCACCGGATACGGATACGAGACCCTTCCTTCTCCTCCTCTTGTGGGGAGAGGGGGCGGGGGCGGTGGGTACGACGGCTCTGCCTTTGCCATTTTCTGAGCTGATCGTCCGTTCCACCTTCTCCTGGGGCACCAGCAATGACCTCGGAAGCAAGAGGTGGGAGATGAGGAAGGAAGGAAGGAAGGATGGGAGGAAGGAAAGAAGGATGGGAGGAAGGAAGGAAGGACAGACAGCTGGCTGGGGAGGGGTCCCTGCCTAGTAAAATAATACAAAGCTCAGTGGTCCTTTAGAATCTGCCCCCTCCGTCTGCTCAGTGCAAGGGGGCAGCTGTCACTTCTCTTGGAGCCCAGAGTGAGTTCCGAATGAATTATCCTACACACCCCTTTTTACCCGATAGGCAAGGAGGTCATCACGAACTGGTAGAACGCCTTGTGGAAATCCAGTATGAGCTCACCGACAGGCTGGCCTTCTACCTTTGCGGCAGGAAACCTGGTAAGTGGCTCTATTTTTGCATTCCCTATTAATTAGATTTATTTTCCTTTCCTTTTCCTTTTTTTTTAAAGCTCCAAGGAGCTCAGGATATGGAATATGTTCTTCTGTGCCTGCTACCAGTAAGAAGTGTGAGCAAGAACTTGGAAAACCAAGGTTCTAGTCCTTGCTGGGTCACGAAACGCACAAGGTGACCTTGGTCTGCTCCCTGTTTCTTAGCCTGACTTACTTCTCAGGGACGTTTGTGCCTCTGAATGAGGGGAAGAGGAGAAGGGACAGTTCCCACTTTGAATTCTTTTGGAAGAAAGGCAATACAGAAATTTCCCGAATAAATAGAAACAAGTAAAAAGTAGCTTTAAAGAAACATGAGGGGGGAAGTCAGGATAGGGTAGATAAAAACAGAGCAGACGCCAGCGGGCATCTTTGTAACTGAATTTAGAAGGTTTAAAAGGCTAGGATTTGTATTTGATGGCTGTCAGACAGTGGCCGGGGAATAGGCAGTGTTCTGGTTCGAAAAAAAGAGAGGAACTTTTGCAAAGGTTGTGAACGGCATTTGGGGAAGTAGAGGGTCAAGGCAACAACCAAACCCTTTCTCTACCATCACGCTTTTCCGAAATTTCCGTTTCAGATCACAAAGGCGGGCAACATTTTATTATACCTCAGATGGCGGACAGGTAAGAAGGCGGGCGGAACAGTGGGATGGCCTCGTTTGCTGGGACTCCTGTTTTCAGCCGAAAAGTTCTCGGGATGGTTTGAAATGATCCCCCGGTCAGGATTTCTTGGTGGGTTTTTTTTTTGGCATTCTTTTCTGCCTGCTGCCCCAAATGCTTAGCCCTCCTTGCTCGGTGCGGCAGATCGAAAATCTACCCATCAGTAAAATAATTCTCGCAAGAAATAAAGCTCTGAGCGTATTTATATCACGGTTTGCAACATCCCGTTATTATTTGGGTACATCATTCATAACCGACTGCATTTTATCTTTTCCTGCTGATCCTTGGGAATCAAGGCGGCTGTAAGTATGCCTTTTGAGTCATCACTCCATGCACGAGCAAGTCTTAATATAACCCTTGAACGTAGAGGTGCCCACATACGGGTCCCACGGGGCATCCGGATGTGAGAATAGGCTTCTGTGTTCCGCCCCTTGTGCACCCTCCTTCCGTCACGTTTGTGCAGCCCTTCTCCCAAAATCCGTGCCCCCCGAGAGAAACCGTCCTCTGGTGGCTCCCTCCTCAAGGCCTCTTGTTTTCGTAGCAGTTTAGATGTGTCAGAACTGGCCAAAGCAGCTAAGAAGAAGCTTCAGTCGGTGAGTAAAGAACTCTTGCGTATCCGATGCATTTCTTGAGCCGTCCTCTTCGACTGGGCGGTGGAGGAAAAGGAGCCTGCTTCCTCAAGGGTCGAAAAACCCATGTTTTGGGCAACGACACGCAGATTTCCTCAGCCAGTTTCCTTTTGTAATTTTTTCCGGGATCACAGACTCCCCCAACGTCTGTCTCCCCCCCTCCCCCCCGGGTAATTAATGTTGCAGCTTGCCCGTTGGCTGGGAGGCATGTGTTGGCAAGGGGGTCGCCGGGAGGGTAGACGCGTTGCTCTTCAATGCCGCTTGCCCCCGAGCCACCGGGAGCATCTTTTGCGACCGAGTCTCGCCCAGACGTGTGTTGTTCTTTCTCCCCTATAGTTGAGCAATCACCTGTTTGAAGAGCTTGCCATGGACGTCTACGACGAGGTGGACAGGCGGGAGACGGACGCAGGTGATTTCCCAGTTGCTGGAGCTTGGCGCCGAAAGGGCCCCTGGGGGCTGTTTTGCCCCTTCCCCCCCCCCCGGCCCGCCGTGTTGAGCGTTTAGGGCAGTGACATCAACCAACAGGGGCATGCCCCCCTCCCAAAGTGGCACTCGTGCATCTGGCTTGCCCTCCTCCTCTGCTCTAAGAGGGACACAACTCACTCCCCCCCCAAAGTGCCCGGGCATCCTTGTGCTGTGGTTGCCCCCTCCACTTCTGCAAAGCAAGCTGGATTGCACGTTAGGGAATGAAATGGGGGAGCTCAACCCGGGGCAGAAGGCTTGGGCGGCAGCTGCCCCCGCATCCCTCTGCAGCACCGAACGCCCCCCCCCTCCCGAGTTCTGGCTTCCAAATTGGGAAGCTGCTTCAGACATGCCAGGAAATAGATATTTCCTTGCATGATATTTGAGGAAAGCTTCCTGTTCCTGTCTGTCTGTTCATTGGAGGAAAAGGCTCAGCACCAGACCTGGTGGAAGCTGGGGACTCAGATAACGTTGGGAGGGGCGGGTCCCCCTGCCTTCACCCAAACTTTCGAAAGAGCTGTTCAAGGTGCGAAACCTGTTTTCGGGAGAAAATCCTGCCTCTTGGATCAGTTGATGCAAAATTCGGGCTAAGACCCGAAGCACCTCCCCCATCAGTTGCTGCAAAATTAGGGCTAAGACCCAAAGCACCTCCCCCCCCCCGGCTGATGTCAGGCCGACCCGCTCCCACCTGCTTCCGGCCCCTCCCTGTGAACTGGTCCTGATTTTGCTCTCTTTTCTCGGAACAGTCTGGCTTGCCACGCAGAACCACAGCACCCTGGTCACCGAGACGACGGTGGTCCCGTTCCTGCCCGTCAATCCAGAGTATTCCTCCACACGTAACCAGGTAGGTGAACTCAGTGGTTTTGAGACTGAGGGTGGGGACTCTGTTTCAAAAGTGCTGAAGGCTGGCATCGTGGGTCCATTCCACTCTCCATTGGAAAAGCCCCCACACAGAGGTCATGGGTCTGAAAAATGGTCCCGTCCGTCAGATTGGCAGAACAGTGCGATCCCAAGAGCCCTGCGCTTCCCTTTGACCCAAGCGGCAAGTCATGGGGGACTGTTTCTCAATATCACGAGAACTGGGAGGGAAACGGCGCTGGGTCAGCAGAAGAAAAAGAGCAGAAAATGCCCGGTGATGAGTAAAAGAGACCTAATAATGTTGTGTAGGAGCTGTGATCCTTCTTTGTTTTGTTTTTTGGAAAATAAGTAAAATACTCGTTTTTCACAGGCTGGGCTTTTTGTTTTGTTTAAAGCACACAGACTTTTTCTGCTATTTTAAAAATACCGTATTTTTTGCACCATAAGACGCACTTTACCCCCACAAGACAGGGGGGTGGAAAGTGTGCGTCTTATGGAGTGAAGAAAACAGATTATATTTTCCTGTTTTCTTCTCCTAAAAAATTGGTGCGTCTTATGGAAAGGTGCGTCTTATGGAGCGAAAAATACGGGTAAATTCACAGGAAAGGGGTAACATTTCCCTTCGAAACCTGTGTGAGCTGTTTAAACACTGGCTTAATCTATCCCATTCTGCTTTCTTGTGCAAGCGCTAAAGCAGGAAGGTTTGTGAAGGCACTAACGTGCATAACGCCTGCGCTCCTCCCGTACGGAGGGGCAACATTACCCCTCTACACCCTTGTTCAGATGTTCTGCTCTTTATAACCACACATGCACGCACGCACACACGCCCCGATCTCTCTTGAGTGGCTTTCAAGGTCTTGCACTGCTTCGTTCTTCCAGGGGAGACAAAAGCTGGCTCGTTTTAACGCCCACGAGTTTGCGACTCTCGTCATCGACATCTTGGGAGATGCCAAGCGGAGGCAGCAAGGGAACCCCACCCCGAGTTCCAAAGGTGTGTCTCGGTGGGAGTCTTCCATGGAGTGGGGGGGGGCTCCTGTTCTTTGCACCGTCTTCCTGCGGTCTCTGGATCTCCTTCGGAAGGATCGGCTCATCCCCTTGTTGGGTTTTGATGCACCCTAAAATGCCAAAGGGACGAGATCTTTCGCGGACGAGGGTCCGTTTCCAACTCCCTGGGGGCCACAGACAATCCCCCCAAAATGAGGAAGAAAAAAGAAAAACCCAAACAGAAGCAGAAGTGGCCTGAAGACCACTTCTCATTTTGCACGTGGGCTTTCTTTGAAGTTTGTTGTGTCTGTGGATCTTGTACGGAGGGAAATAGCCACTCGCGGAGGCTTCCAGGAGGGGGCCAAGCCTGCTTTTTGGCCCACGAGCCACCTTGTCAGCCTCGGGAGTCACACAAGGCTCCTGGGCCGCTCAGTTCCTCTCCTGCGTTACCGTTTCCGTTTAGCAAACCAGAAAAAGGAGCAGTTAGCAGAAGAGATCCCCAAAACGGGGACTGCAGCAGCCTTGTAGATGGAAAAGAGGCTTATGAATTCGATAAAATAAATAAAAATGTGGGAAGACCCCCCCAAAGGCGGGATCTGACTCAAGGCGACTGGTCCGGCGCCCTGTTCCGACAGGATGCCTTGGGGGATGAATGGTTTGGAGGGAGGTTGCGTTCTGATCTTAAAGCTAAAGGGTCCTTCCTTCCTTTTCCTCGTGTCTCGGGTGCTGCTGGCAGACAACGTGGAGCTGATCCTGAAGTCCATCAACAGCCAGCACAGCACCGAGAGCCAGGATAACGACCAGCCAGACTACGACAGCGTCGCATCTGACGAGGATGTGGATCCTGACTTGAGCTCAGCCAAGGTCGCAAGGCAGAAGGTGAGGTTGGGCGGCGGACGCCTCGGAGGGGGGGCTTTTGGGGAAATCCTTTCTTTGGAGGCTGTTTGGGCAGGTGGCGGGCAGCCCCAAGCACGCCACCACCAGCGGCTCGCCTGGAAGCGTCGGGCCAGAGCCATGAGCGGGCGCACCAAAGCCAGAGAGCCCTGCCAGCGGCTCGCCCAGAAGCGTCGGGCCAGAGCCATGAGTGGGCGCACCAAAGCCAGAGAGCCGGGCCGGTTTGAAATGCAGCCGCTTTGTCTCTCCCCCCCCCAAGAGCTTGGAATCCGACTCGTCCGACAGCCCCGTTACCGCCCAGGAGTACCTGCAGGTGAAAAACGCCCTGGTGGCTTCGGAGGCGAAAATCCAGCAGTTAATGAAGGTGAACGTCAACTTGAGCGATGAGCTGAGGATCATGCAGAAGAAGGTAGCATGAGGAGCGTGGGCGAAGCTCAGCACGCCTTTCTTCCAAACCCCCCCTCCCCCCGTGTGCATGAGGAGGGGCAGGAAGGGGCAGAAAGCCAGGGGCGGGGG